ATGGGAAGTGGAGCAGCTGGGACATAGACCAGTGCTCATATGAGATCCCGGCTTGCAAGATGAGGAGTTAGCCACTGAGCCATCGCACTGGACTCAAGAACATATTTTCACCTGTTGTTTAGCAACTTGTCTTCTTTCATCTTAAATCTGTGGTGCAATATGCCAGTTTTTCTACTTTGCTGTAATTTTGTAGACATTTTAGTAGGAAATGGTAAAGTGGCCTGTTACACATCTCCAGATAGCCTCTTCGTGAACCCAAACATGTTTTTAAAAGCCTTTGCTAAAGGACCATACCGTCAATAATTTGCCATAAGGTAACCAAGTAAATGAGAAGAGAACCTGCTATGCGGGATTCGGCTGTACTGCGCATTTCCAGCAATGCCTCTGTTCACGTCTGAAGGCATACGCACATCAATTGATAACTGCGTATCATGGGGGAGTTGGCTACATATGTGACTCGTATTATGACACTACAGAATTTGGAAGGAATAGCATTATATTTGAAGGAATAGCATTATGTTTTTAAAGCATTTTGATAGAATAGTATTTCCACTTCTGGTGTTTCCAAGTGCAAGCAAATGAAAATTTACTTAATAAATCAAATATAGCATAATACCTAATGACAGCCACGTTGAATGACACTCTGGGAGGTTAGCACAGTGCCTAGGCAAGATAATACTCCAGCTGGCAGCACTGGTAGCCCATGTGGGCACCACTTTGTGTGTTGGCTGCTCCACTTCTATTCCAGCTCTCTGTCTGTGGCCTGGGAAAGCAGGGGAGGATGGCCCAGTCCTCTGGATCCTGAACCCACATGGGAGACCCGAAGGAGGCTCAAGGCTCCTGGCTTCAGATCAGCTCATCTCTGGCTATTGTGGCTGTCTGGGGAGTGAACAAGCAGACAGAGACACTTTTGCTGTCTCTTTCTTTTTTATCCTTCTCTTTCTCTGTAAACTCTGCCTTTCAAGTAAAAATAAAGAAACCTTTTTAAAAATGACACCATGGGAATTATTTCATATTAATCCATTTTAAATGTACAGTTAAACAAATGTTTAGATGGAAACAGATGATCACCAGTGGGTTTGAGTCAAGAAGTAAGCAGGGAAAAAAAAAAAACAGTTTGACAGGCTAAAGAGGCTGGCTCATTTAAGAGGAAGTAGATTTCAACAAAGAATCATCTGTTTGAAGAACAATGAAAATCTGCGACAGAAACACAGGAATAAAATATCATTGTCCATAAGATGGCTAAGTAAACAAGTAAATGTTTTTCATTTTATCTAGATTACAACATTGCAGCCTTTTTTGAATGAAAGAAAATTACTTTATCCAGTCACTATTAGACATTCAGATGTATTATGTTATATATATCTTGAGGCTTCATCCATGAGATAAAATCCCCGAAGTAATTTTTCTAACTGAGCTCATAAGTCTTTCATCACCCACATCCCTGAATATGCATGATTTTCCATTACTGTTTACAGTTAGGACTTCTGCTATCTTTACAGTATATGGGCGCAAAAGGCTATGTTACATTTGCCTTAGGAACCATCATTTTTAAAGCTCTTGCATCTGTAAAATCTTTACCTTTGTTATATTACTCTAAAGTAGATTTTGTATTTCATAGATGCACACATATTGCAATAGCACGATGCTGCACCAACACATGGTCTATGTTATCGGTTCCATAATGCTGTGGCTTTTTCATCTAAACTCAATATAATGTCACAGGCAACGTGACCAGCTTCTGGGGTGGCTGCCTGTGTTTGCTTGCCCATCCTTACTATTTTTCATTCTTCAGTCCCTCCTTATGTTGGAGTTATTCACAAGTCCTTTGTTGTAGGACTTGGCACTTTCTTCCATTAGAGTAAATAGACTACATTTCCACATGATATTAACATCAAGCTTAGTTATATGACTCGCATAAGCCAATAGAAAGAGTACAGAAATGACAGTGTGCCAGTCTTGAGCCAGTGCCTTACGGGGACATCAAGTATCTGCACTTGCTACTCTTTACTTCTGTCATCTCTGAGATGACCTGTGTTGCTGCTGAATCCAGAATGAAGAATGTACATGGAACAAACCTGAACCGAACCCACAGCTTGGAGTCCAGCCTAGCCCAATATGGCCTTGCCAGTACCAAATGCCATCATATGAGTTACAACTAGCCTGTAATCCCCAAGTGAGAAAAATAAATCCAAGTCATTGTAATATTGGGGTTGTTTGTTATGTGACATTATTGCAACAATAACTATTGTCTTTCCTACCGTTGATTCTCACATATTTGTCTTCCTTTGCGCATGCAATGGATGCCATTAAGTGGAATATATCAAGGACCAACTGAGAAATTCTTGCTGCAAATTTCCAAGCTTAATAGAGAGAAGGTCTATATCTTTTCAATGTCCAAGATTTAACTACCTTTCTAACAAGGATTCCGAGATGGGCATTCAGACTATCCATGTTGGCTGGTAACTTAGGAGTGTTAGTGATCCTGCTGAGTTGTGGCTCACCACATTGAAGGGACAGACACTTCTTTCACATCATATTTTGAAGCATTCCCATATTGAAAAGCACCTGACCACATTCATGAACTGGCATGTAACCCTCACCAAGCTTTTAAAATTTTAGTCAGGCATGTGCTCACATCTTAAGTATACACTCCTGTCTGTATCAGACTCTAGGGTGTCCTTCATTAGCCCTGTGTCCTTAACGCATGCCCTGGGTAATGCCTTGGCTTAAATGTAGAAAGTACTTGTGGCTTGCCTCTAACAAAGAGTACACTACAGAGGTAAATGGGAAGTCACTTCCTGATTCTGTTACATAATGCCTATCTTGCTAGGAAACTGCTTTTGATGAAGCAAGAAGCTTCGTGATGAGGACCACATGCTGAAACACTGGGGACAGCCTTTAGTTCACAGCCAGCAAGAACCTGGGGACTTTTAGCCGTACAAGAACCACATAAACCTAGAACCAGATCTTCCTCTTGTCAAGATTTGAGACAGACTTCACACTTGGCTAACAACCTGACTGTAAATCCATGGGGAGATGTGGAAGCAAAGAACTTAGCTAAGTCAGGTACAGACTCTTGACTGTAGAAACTGCATTTATAAGTGTATGCTGTTTTTTGATGCTAAATTTGTGTTAATGTGTTACATGAGCAGATAAATAAAACACTATACAACCATGTAACAAGTAGAGAATTTTGACCAATGCAAGCCAATTCTTAAGAATGTGAGGGTTCAAGATGAAGCTTACGTATTGTTTACCTGTGAGGAGCTCATAATCTTGTCACTCATTCAGTAGCTGCTCATCACACAATGGGACCAACACTTGATTAGGTGCTTGAACTAGTAAAAGCCATGTTGCCTATTTATGCTTTTTTTGGTTTAATATTTTAAGCCCAAACACTCCATGGTATGAATACACTGTACAGTCACCATTGGAAAGTGTTTATTAAAGTGCTGTCGGTTCACACCTGGGCAAGGATAAGAAATCCAGTGGAAATAACTGCCATTATGTAGAACAAATACTTCAAGGAAATGGCTTTATGTATGAATTGTCATGATTCTATTGTTCTTCCACAAAACTGTTGAAAATCAAGGCTGATGACATTACTTGTAAAAAAAAGCTCTCTCCTTAAAGGTTAATCTTTTGAGACAAGGTGCTTTCAGCATGAAAGTTAAGACATTAATTGCCATGCCATTAGGTGCACAAGTGAGCCCCTCATGGGAAATGTTTGGTTAGTAAAGCAAAATAACTCCTTTTTTGATCTCCAAAATAAAGTCTATAATTTGCTATTTCGTGTTTGAAAACACAGAATTTCTATAATTATTGTTTGCTCTTGCTGCAGGCTGCCTATTCTAATCAAGATCTCAACATCTTTATTTTTTAATTGAACAGTTACTATGTGCTGAACACCTTACTGCAGAAGATCCTCTTCAAGGCTCACACAACCCACAGGGTCTTACCACCTGCACCCCACAGATGACACGGAAACACAGAGGCTGAGTAACTGAAGTATCTCTCTTGAATTGTACCATTAACAGGAAAGGAGAGCTAGGATTTGAATGGGGCAACTCCATTCTGGCATCTGTGCCTCTTGGCATCTCCGTCATGACCTATAAGGGAAACTTTGAGCATGTCTGTTACCTTGGTAACAATGAAAAGCTAGCTAATTCTCCAAATGTGACCCTTCTCCGGCTTGGTTTCCCTTGTTTAAAATTTTTGAACACAGCAGTATTTCCTTTGGGACTTCTGGTGAAAACAGACCAATGAAAGACCACAAATCTTTTTTTTACTAGGGTGAAGCATTTACTGCCCTAATTAGCATTCCCATTCACAGGCTTTCGTTTTGGGAAAGTAAACAGCAGCATCCCCCGTGTTTGGGTTAAAGGGAATCTTAAATCATGGTAAAGCAACAGGCTGAGGGCAGGATGACAAGGACAGGCATGGCTTGTGCTGTGGCGGGCTACTAAGAGGCTGTCTTTGGCTAAGAAACCCCGTCTCGCTCGCGGGTTTGTGCACAGGGGCTTTCACAACTTTATTTCCACGTGGGTCAAAACGCAAAGAGCTGAGTAAGTTTCGCAAGGAAAATGAACGACAAGCTGGGCCGGAAGTCACCTCAGCAGCAGAAAGTTAGAACACAAGGCAGTCTACCTGTGACCAGGAAAATCAAACATTTCACCAAGGTTTCCAAGTCTTCATTTCTTCTTCTTCGCAGTCCCAACCGGGAACGTGGTGGCGGGGCGGAGGCGCTCACACTAAGCGATACCAGCCCATCCTGCAGCCGCGCCACAGTGGGGTCCCACTCCAGGAGCGGGGGCAGCCCTGGGCGCGCATGCGCAGCCGCCACCACGTCCCCGCGGCGGGGCCCAGGCCTCGCGAGCCGGCGCGTCGCGCGCCCTCGCAGGCTGTACTGCCCGGCGGGCGCCTGCGCAGCAGCGTCCCGGCGCGCGGGCGCGCGGACCGCCGGGTTAGGAGAGGTGGAGCGCCGGGAGGGCGCGCGGCTGGAGGCGACCGCCGTAACGGCGCGAGCGTGGTCACGTGGCCGCTGGTCACCGCCGCCACCCCCTCCTGCCCTGTTCTCTCTCAGGTCGGCCCGGGCCCGGTCGGTTCCGCCGCGAGCGCACGGCACAGACTGAGGGAGAGAGAAAAAAGGAGGGGGAGGAGGAGGAGGAGAAATCAGGGAATAGGAGCTGGGGAGCCCTTCTGCGCCACAGGTAAAACAAAATGATGACGATGATCGTTGAAAAAAAGAAAGAAAGAGAAAAAAGAAAAAGAAAAGCCCAAGCCCCTTCCCGGGCGTCCCGACTTCCTCCCGTGCGCCCGCACGTGCTGCGGCTCCCGCCTGGCCTCCCCTCTGCCGCTCAGCCTCCGCCAGCCCTCGCGCCGCCACCCTGCACGGGCCGAGGCCGCCCCTGGCCGCGATCGGTGACCGGCCGCCCGGCTGTCGGCGTGGGGTGGGCGGCGGGAGGGGCGCCCGGGGCTCCGGGGCGGGCAGCGGGCAGCGGGCAGCGGCTCTGGCGGGAGTCGGGGCTGGCAGCACGGCGGCCCGACTGCGGCTCTCCACTTCCTGCTTGTGACTGCCCTGGGTGTTTTGGGGGGCGCCCTGGGCCGCCCGACTTTCCTTCACAGGCCGGAAAGGGACCCGCGAGTCCCCAAACGTTGGCAGCATGGAAGGAGGCCCCCCACCCCATTTCTTTGACTTATTCGTAGTATGACTTGCGTTCATGCACTTGTGAGAACGTGCAAGTTGAGGCCTTTGAGGAAGGAGTAAAACTTTACAAAAGGACGAAAGTTGACTCGACCCCCCTTACCCCGCCGACAGAGGGGAACCTCTTTCCTGGAAAAACAACACCTTGGGAACCAAAAGTTTGTTAATTACTGTTACATATTTTCATTTCAGGAATGTGAACTGCGTTGTTTAGTATTTCCTAAGATATGATTTTTTTTTGGAAAGAGTTTTGGCCTATCCCCTCGGAACTGATTTTATTTTAGCCTGTAGAATGCACACATTTGGGCCAGATTGGGTCAGAGCTTCTAGACCCTGTCATTTCTTTTGCACTTCAAAAGTTTGTCCTAATAACACTGTAGCGGTTGTCCTGCTGCGCAAAATACTTAAAAGCAGAAAGCATTGAGTGTAGGTATTGCTGAGAAATGTCTTGAGTACGTTTGATTGGTATTAATGGCACAGAAATACATCAGTATATTGGCTGTTTTTCTCTTGGGCTTTTCCAACTCCGGGGCTTGGTTATTTTCATACTTTGTTTCTGAAATCAAATGTAATTGAACATTTAAAACATTTCACTGCTCTTTGCAGTACTGTCACCCAGGGCAGTGCTCATGCCGGCATGTGCGTAGGACTCATGGGGGCTCTTGTAAGAAGTTCAGATTCTGTGGCAGTGAGTTTATGGTGCGGCTTGATGTTCTGCATTTTGATAAGCTCCTGGACAGGGAGTGGGCCATGAGTACCAGGGAGGAAGATGACCTGTGTGAAGAATTAAACTGGTAACGTGTATCAGCGATCCACCTCTTCGCACAGGTGGCTTGGCAGGATGGGCGGGTGGTGAGGTGATGTGAGAGCCCCGAGCAGGTGTCTTTCAGCAGGCTGAACCGCTGAGGATCCCAGGGGAGGGAGTGGAGGTGTCCTGATGCCATGTGCTGGGTGCCATATCATCGCGTGGCCTGTGGCTTTTCCCATCGAAGCTTGGTATAGCTCTGGCAGGAAGGCCTGCTGAGCTGAGAGAGTGACTGGTTTTATCATGTGTCTGAGTGGATTGTGGAGGTGGAATTTCTGCTTGTGGCACTTTGTTGGAAGTGTCAGGTGGACGTTTTCTGGCTCGTCTGCAGCCGCAGCTGAGCAGTGCCGCATCCCCGAGCCTGGGAAACACGTTTGCAAACAAATCAGAGTTACTTTCTCGGGGTTCTCCTAAGAGGATTCACCTTTTTCCACTAAGGTAATATTTCCTAATGTAAATGTAAATGTTTAAAAGTGTCACACGTTATGGACATAAAAATAGTTATACTTCACATTTTAAGAATTTTCTGGAAGTGTATCAGTTACTTCTGATCCCATGATGTTTCTACTCTTTACTCCAGTCCTTCACCATTGTTTCATGCTATTAAGTTGTATTTATCACTACTTCTCAAGCACCTGTTAAGTGACCAGGACTGTTCTTAGCACATTAAATAACTCATTTCATCCTTACCACAGCAATTAAGCAAACAGGCAGGGACAGAGTAAATCACACACATGGTTTTACACAGCTAACATAGAGCTGCGATTCTGGCTGATACCATAGTGGAAGTTCTTAGCCACCTTGTATGTATGCTTCCTTTTCATTAAGAATTTATCATGTAGAAAGAAAATTAATGATACTGTCCAACACATTTTCCCTAGTATTGTTGAAATCTGAACCTTATTTTTAAAGTTTGATTTATCATCCTTCCTTTGTTTTCTCCGTTAGGCAGTGGGGACGGGTGTTCCAGGAGGCAGTGCAGCCGCTGGGTGAGATGCTGAGGGCCCTCCTGACTGCGGCAGGTGCTGGCTCACGTGCGTTGGTCCTTGCTTGCTAAGGGAGGCAGACACTGAACCTCTTGCTCCGTGCTCTGTGCCTGCTGAGCCCGGCTGTTGCCGGTGTCCTCGGGGATGGACCAGTGCACGGAGGCTTGCCCTTGGTCTGTTTGGCTCTGCTTCCCAGATGTTGCAGTTTGGAATTGTTCTCTGTTTGCTGCACCAGTCCCAGTTTCAGTGACTGTTCGCTGCAGCAGTTTCCATTAGTGCTTGGCAGTTTTTCGCTTCTTGCCTCTTGCCTTTGTCTACCCAGTATCTCCCCTCCCCCGCCATGAATTAGTATTTGTTATTCTAATATGTGAGTTTTCAGGGCTGACTGGATTGTTCTATGCTTAGTATTCCATATTTGTTATACTAAAATTTAGGTTTTGGATTAACTAGGTTGCTGTCTTTGTATTTGGTGAGTAAGGCCCTAGGAGCTCCTTTCCAGTGTCATATGGGTAGCAAGGAACCAGGCATTTGGGCCATCTTCCATTGCTTTGCTAGTCACATTAGCAAGAAGTTGGACCAGAAGTGGAATTAGTTGGGACTGCATTTGCCACTCCAACAGAAAATGTCTGCCTTGACTTGCTGAGCTCCTCTGAATCGCTTTTTAAATTCAGGCCACCAAAATTTTTGTCAGTGTGACTGGGGAGTGGGGATTACACAACTGAATGGAGATGCTTCTCTCAACATGGATGAATTACTAGGATGAAGTACTGCGTATGTGCTAGAATCTGAGAAACAAGAGGCAAGTGAGGAAGACACAGGAAGAGGGAGGGCTGACCACTGCGACTAGTGGCTCCAGTTGTTTATTTCTGGAATAATGATGAGTTTCGGAAAAAAGAATTACCAAATCCTGGCTGTAAATAATTGGCGAAGTTGGCTTACAAGCAGTGGTTGAACCTAGTGGTTCAGGTGCTTGCCTCCCATGTGGAAGGATCTGGATTTGAGTCCTTGCTGTGGCTCCTGGATCCTGCCTCCTGTCAATGCAGCTTCCCAGGAGGCACCAGCATCCTTGATAGGACTTGGGTTGAGTTCCCGGCTCTTGGCTTCGTCCCGGCCCGGCCCAACCCTGGCTGCTACAGGTATAAACTAGCGGATGGCAGGGCAAGTTAGAAAATGAAACCAGTTACCTCAAGTGTGCAGGAAGATGTTTACCATTCTACAGACATCACGTGAGTGGTTAAATAATGTCTGTGCAATTTTTTTTTCCTCTAAAGGAACACTATTAGATAAACTGAGTGAAAAGGAGAAATGATTTGTTAGAATTGTCCAAGTTCCTGTCCTTTTTCTTTGACTCTTAGGGAAGTGTTTGAGTTCTGGCTGCTTGCTTACGGCCTGACTTCTCCATTTCTTACCCTGGTACTGTGCTGTAGAGTGTGTGGCCACGCCAGTCATTGTTTCCGGACTTCACAGCTGAGTGGGCGGAGCTATCGCTTATAGTAAACCTGAAGAAGCACTTTCTGCATGTTCAAACAAGGGAAGGCTTTTATTGCTCTTTTCACTTAATAATTTATTTTTTAAAAAGTAAAGATACTGTGATACCTGTAATAGTACTGTGTTGTTTAGCCTCACAGTTTTTGTTATTGTTGTTCTTATGGTGTATTTATCTATTTGAGAGTCAGTTGTGGAGAGAGTCAGGAGGGAACCACAGAGGCCTTCATGTACCGGTCTGATCCCCAGATAGCCAGAATGGCCGTGCTGGGCCAAGCAGAAGCCAGGAGCCAGGAGCTTCTTCTGGGTCTTCTGTCTAGGTGGGGAGTACTGCTTTTGCCAGGCCATTAGCAGGCAGCTGGATTGTAAATAGAGTAGCCGGCTCCCATAGCGGATGTGGCATCACAGGTGTGGCTTTATTCTCTGCCACAGTGGCAGCTTCAGCATCACCACGTTCCTAGCGTAGATCATCTGTAGTGTGGGTTTTCATATCCCCTTAATCAAGAGCGACTGTATTTGAAGAAACTGAATGGCTGAAGCAATTAGATTCTTGTCACCCACATGCAAAAACTGGGTGGAGTTGTGATTTCCTATTTTTATGTAAGGAATATTTTTGTGTGTATAAAGAATGTGAGGGCTCACATTTCTTATTTTTCAAATGGCAAGGCCGTTTTTGTAGTGTGGTCTGTTTAATTATTTTTCTTTTGTCTACAGATTTGAGCCACCACCTTTATTAGATTCTAAATGCTGATATGTTCTTGGATCTATTTCTGTCATCTTGATTTTTCATGCATCACTAACAATTTCCTGTACATCTTAGAACATCACATTATCTTACTAGGGCCAAGCCTGCCTTATTAGTCTCTTTGTGAATCTTTTTGGATGAAATAAGCTATTGTTTTCATGGTATCTGATAGTTTTTCCAGTAAAATTCTTTGTTTTACTCATAGAAAAGACCCACAAATATTGGTAAGTATTATTTCTTCATTTCTAATATTTATGCTTCTTATTTGGTCTGCTTGCCTATTTCCTTTCAGAACAACTTTACTGAATTGTTTTGTACCCTGCTCTCCTGCTTTGTGTCTGACTTCAGTGGTGTGTATTTTACGTATTGCTGTGTTAAGCACTGTGCTGGCTTTGGCTAGGATGTATATGGTCACACACATGTGCTCTTTAAAATCACATATTAACTTACTTTGAAGAATACATTTTGACTCTTATCAAATGTGT